GGGCATGGCACCCCACCAGACTCAATCAGACAACACTCCAAAAGGTCAACCAACAGACCTTAAACTATTTACAGGTTTTGATTTTTTTGTCGTTGTGTTTTGTTGTTTTGCTGTCTTGTTTTTGGTGCATATTATTATCTCTGTAAGTCTATCTAGATAAGATAGTCCAGATAAACAATCTGGAGGAGAAAACAACTGGACTGACGGTCCCAGAGGGACATAGGAGAGGAGGAGGTGGCGGAAAGGAGGTGAGTGTTAACAAACCCAGGGACAAGGGAACGAGTGATCCAAAATCGACGGCAAAGGAGGGTGTAGGAGGCCTGGTAGGGCTTGATCAAGGGCAATGTAACTGAGAGAAATTACTGAAACCCAAAGGAGGGTTAACATGATAGCGGGACAAGAGGAAAGTAACAGGAAATAGAAGAAAGAACTAGGAGGCAAAAGGCATTTATAGAGGTCTAAATACAGGCATGTACATATGTAAATATATTTATATATGATGATGGGGAAATAGATTTATGTGCATATATTTATAGGTTTAGTATTAAGGTAGCAGATGGACATTGGGCCTCCACTCAAGTACTCCCTCGATGCAAGAACACTTTGTTCTATTAACCTGGCATTCTATGATGCTCACCTTCCTGACACAATCACGGAAGACAAAATGGGTGCATAAGCAAATGTGGTGAAGAAGACTGATGATGCATCTGGGGTCTTAAAGGCTTGAAGATCAACAAGTGGACATCTAGCTGATAAGCAACAAAGCCTACATGGAAGAAGCATACCAGCCTGTGTGATCACCAGGTGTTGATAGAATCAGGTGTTGGGCATTAAAGAAGAAAAAAATCATATAATTGTGAATGAGGGGGAGTGTGGAGTGGAGACCCAAAGCCCATCTGTAGGCAACTGGAAATGACCTTACAGAAAGAAGGGTCCCAGGGATGGGATGAGCCAGGGAGGATGCAGTATAGCACCCATGAAACATACAACTTTCTTCTAGTTCTTTAATGCTTCCCCTTCCGCCTCTCCCCCACTATCATGGTCCTAATTCTACCTTACAAATCCAGGTAAACCAGATGACGTACACTGGTACAGATAAGAGCTGGAAACACAGGGAATCCAGGACAGATATACCCCTCAGAGCCAATACCAGGAGAGTAAGGGGAAGGTGGGGGGAGAAAGGAAGAACCAATCACAATGATCTACATATAACCCCTTTCCTGGGGAGCGGACAACAGAAAAGTGGGTGAAGGGAGACATTGGACAGTGTAAGACATGAAAACATAATAATTTATAAATTATCACGGGTTCATGAGGGAGGCAGGGTGGAGCAGGGAGGGGGAAAATGAGGAGCTGATACCAAGGACTCAAGTAGAAAGAAAATGTTTTGAGGATGATGATGGCAACAAATGTACAAATGTGCTTGACATAATGGATGGACCTATGGATTGCGATGAGTTGTATGAGCCCCTCATAAAATAATAATTTTTTAAAAAGCAGGAAGTTTGTAGTAGAAGATGGGGAAAGGCAAGACATGGAGAGGTTTCTAAACCAGAGGGCGTCGAACAATGATTTCCACTTATGGTGTAAGTGGTCAGCGGTGCCATAGAGAATAGTGTTTATTCCTTGGCAGAGCTCAGCCAACAAAAACTCTTCTTAATAGTTCCTATGTGCTCCATATCGTTTTAGTAACAGAAGAAGTCAAAAAGGAAATAAAATACATAGTCCCTGCTTAGGTCATTGTACTGTCTAGTTGGAAGGTAGTTTACACAAAAGACGCCAGCGATCAGTGTACAATTCAAATAAGCCTATTATCTATTACCTTATCTTTTTTTTTTTTAAAGAAGGAATCGAGCTCTCTTTCCTGCCTGGAGTAGAAGAGGGTCTTTCTATTTTTTCTACCTTACTTTGTAACAAATGCTTATGTTTCCACTGAGTAAGTGTGATGAAATTTCAGTTGGCAAGCAAGGGGTGGGTAAACAACTCCATCTTATACTTTGTGCAGAATATAAGCAATGGTTTCTAGTTTATGATTGTCCTTCCTGGGGATATTCATTTATCAATCCAATTCATGCACGTTTCCCTTTTCTTCTTCTTCCTTGTTATCTCACCGCCCCCACTATCATATTGTGTCTTTTTAAATGTGCATGTGTGGGTGTCTTTCTTTAAAACCCCCCCTCCTTCCCTTTGTTCCCCACACCCTGGCTTGAACCATCAAAGTCTACTTTTGGGGGAGTGTAAAAGCCATATTTCTTTTAAAATAGTAGTCTCATGCAGTACTTATCTTAAGGAGATTGAAGAACCTTTCCTGAGCATAATGTCTTCGAAACTCATCTAGGACATGAGGTGCTTGACCAGTTTCATCATTGTTCTTTAGGGATGCATAGTATTTCATTGTATGTATTGCATTCGACGGACCATTCCACCAGACAGGCCTTTTGGCTGTTTCTTTTTTTTAATTCTTGTGGTGAGCACTACTACAAACCTGGGTGTCCATGTATCTGTTCAGTTTTGTTTTCTAATTCTTTGGGGTACATGACCATTAGAAAGACTGGTGGGTCATAGGATCTTCCTATTTGCATTTACCTTTTCACTGTCTTTTGATGGCTTCTCTGGGCTTCACGGATTGAGCTGCACGTCTTCAGGGTCCTCACCATGTGATAACGATCTTGCCAGCTTCATCTGCAGGGCCTCTGGCCACATTCGACGTCACACCTTTTGCTCTTGTGAACTCTCTTCTGCCAATTCCTTCCTTCCCCCTCATTTCTCCTTTAAGATCCAGCTCAAATGTCAGTCTCTCCAAAGAGTTGGCATCTTTAAAAGGGGCATTCGGGTCATTTTGTTACTTGCTCTTTGGAAACAATTTCTCTGCTGCCTCCCAGAATTGGTTATCTACTACATCTTTTTTAAAGCAAGTTGTGAACTTCCTGAAGGGAAGGACTGTCTGTCTGGTTTGTAATGCAGCCCCTAGCACTGTCCTGTGCACTGGGAGGCACTCAAAGCATGTTTGCAGAATTAGCCACAGTCCCATTACTTTCCTTTACTGGAACCTTCTCTCATTCTACTCAACCAAATCTGAGGCCTGTCCTTTGCATCTCTCAAAGGTCTCATCCACTGTACTATCCCTCAAGGCATTCATAAACATGTATTGCATAAACATACACTATCATTAAGACAAAAAAAAACCCTAGTAGCAAGGCACTCACCTTAAGGTCCTTGGTTCAAACCCATCAGCCGCTCAGCAGAAGAAAGATGAGGCGTTCTCCCCCCAGAGAAAGATTCACAGCTTCAGAAATTGCTACCGATGATCGCGATGCGTCTGAACAGTCTTGACGGCTATAGGCTATCATTCAGGCATGATCTTCTGGTCATGAAGATTCCCTGTGAGCCAAGACTCATTAGGTACCTAAGCCCATAGTAGCTCAATAACAACATTTCACCGATAATCTTGGGTACTTTGGGGAGTGGGTTTGGAAAGGCTAGGATTGCTTTCTCCCTTCACCCACCCTTCTGTTGCCCATCCCCCAGAGAGGAGGTTCTATGTAGATCCTTGTGATCGATTCCCCCTTTCTACCCCGCTTCCCTCCGGTATTGCCACTCTCACCGCTGGTCCTGAGGGGTTCATCTGTCCTAGATTCCCTGTGTTTCCAGTTCCCATCTGTACTGCTGTGCATC